TTCATATGTCTATAAATAATACATAATGCCGAGTCAAAATATTTTAAAAATTCTATCGTACATATAAAATATAAAATAAACATTTGAAGTAGCTATTGATAATAGTTTTAGAATTACAACAAAATAAGAAAATCGTTCCATGAGGATTTGCTAATTAACGGGTGAATATCAAATGTCTAATTTTATACGCTCATAAAATTGTATTTAACATACAGGTAAAATTAAATTTTTGTTAAACGTAAGAAAAATAATGGGATATCGTGTAATCAATTTTCAAATTTTAGATTCTAATAAAATATTTTTATGAATTTCTAACTCAAAATAATTAGAAAATGTTGGCGTATTTGACGAATTTGGTCAAAATTTTGACCTCAGGCGGTCATAAAATATTATTATGAATTTGTAGTAAACTTTTGTTTTTTATTATAGGTACTTACCTATATCAACTTATGCAGAACTGTATATTACGTTTAAAAGGCCTTTAAAGTTTAAATCAGTGAACGTTTTTTTTTTAAACCTATTGATTTACACCATCTACGTGTTTATAGTGATAACAAACAATAAGTTATACCTAAATCAAGAATGTTGTAATAATTTTCATATAGTATAAATAATTAAATATTTTACTTTTGTTACCAAAATTTAAAAAAATAAGCACTCCCATAAAAATTAATGAAACTTGATTTATAACTCTATATAATCATCATTCATCACATTGCACACTTAGTCTAAAACAAAAATAGCATAATCAGTAACTTAAGATTTCTTAGAGTCTACAGAGAAGAAACTACATTTTAGACAAATAAGTATTTTTAAACATACTTCAATACTTATGTACTTTATACATAAGACGTATAGGTAATATCCAATAGGTATACTAACCTCATTTATCGGGAATTCGATAAAATATTAATTTTTTATTAAGACACATTAAAAAAAAAATCATAGGATTAGCAAATTAGCAAAATATCAAATTCCAAAACGTACCTACCTAGCAAAATCTAACAAATTCCTAACAATTGTTTGATACTATAATCATAGTCATAGCATATTGTGCAGGTGCAAACCTGATGAGTGATGGACATTTCAAAATAGGCAATTTTCAGATTGCATGCATGCTGGACATTGCGGCTCTTGAAAGTGTGTACTTAAAATTAACTAAAGAACCAATTAGAATAAGTAGGTACTTACCATAGATATTGGCGCACCAGTTTATTAACACTGTCAATTTACTTTATTCAGTTTACGGTTACAGTACAGCATCGATATGGACTATGGTAGGTGGACAAAGACAATACCAAAAATCAAAACAAATCGATTCTTATAATATTATAATTCAATACTTAAATGGCCAATATAGGTGTAAAGTATATTATTGTTAATAGTCATCACCATCGTCCAATTGATTAAAATATCTTATCTAAGTAGCAAGTATACAATTACGTAATATAATCATAGATATTAACGCATCATCGACTCCTTTCTGCCAATGTCAGAATTCACTTTCATTGTTGTCAAGAGCTGTAGTTGACACTTGACAACCCTAGAGCTTATCGCCTATCGGTATTCGTATTCTGAACTTGTATTGTAGTAATTACTTTACAAACGACACTTTGTATATTAAGCAACGTATATAGGGTCTTTAATTTATTTGTATGGCCCAGTAAAAGGTATAGTTATCAGCTGTGGTTATTTCACAGGGTGACAGACGTCAAGTCCAATTGTTCAACTTCATCCAATGAAACACTTATAGTTAAATTTTAACTTACCAGACTACAAAATTATTTGTCCAATCAATATTGACCAAATATTGTATATCTACTTATTATATAATATTATAATATCTATTAGTTAGGTAGCTTATTTGTGTCTCTAGCTGTATACATTTTTGTACAATTCAGTTGCGTAGGTACGGAAAATCAATACAAAAATCGATTATTTCAATGCATTTACCAAATATACAATATAATATGGCCTTCTTGCATAGTACTAATAACTATTAAGTACTACTAACTGTATGAGATACAGTTATGAAAAGAAATATAAAAAATGTGGGCAACTATAGAACCCGCTCTGCTGTACAGGCGTACAGCTAGTACCTATATGTACTATATAGATACCGAATGGATCACTACAGTGCACTGTACATCTATGGATGTGTTAAATTTGAATTCAATGATATAAAATATTTAAAATACTTAGTTATAATAAAATATTAAAATCTTAATAACTATAGTCTTCAGCTACATAATATCTTCATAAATTCCAAAAGCCAGAATTTTAACAAATGCTTGACTAGCATTCAAAATGGGCAACCATGCTAAAAAATAACTCTATACTTATGCTACACCTACAGGCTACAATAACAATACACAATAATAGGTATTAAATTATTTATAACGAATCCTTTAACTTAATGTTTAAACTTTCAAAGAGTGCATCGTAAACAAGACATGAAGGCCAACCGCAAACGTATAAACATATAGGTATACAAATATAATAACTATAATATACCTACATCATAATTTATTTATTAAACAAGACGTAATTGTATGTAAATTTCCCTACCACCTTAGCATAAAAAATGATAACATTGGAATATCAAATTCCGTTTAAATCCATGAGGTTTGATTACACATGATGGACATGGCACGATTTTTATTTAATGAGGTATCACTGGTATCTCCTCTGGTATCACTGGTTAAGGTGTAATCCACACGTACAAATAGAACGTCAATTTTATCTACACTTTCACCACAAAGTTATTTACTGTTAATAATCAATGGGGGATAAGTTTATATTTTAATGTAGGTACCAATCTAATATTGTACAGGGCATTAGCATTAAGTTACTATTTTTTACTATACTTTTATATTTTAATATTTCATATGAACCTAATTTAAGGATCCAGGGATATTTTGTGTACTTATAATAGGTATATGTTATATCTTTGCAAATTTATCTATGCAACATTATCATGACGCATGTGTTGTCTCTGTCTTGTTCAGTGTATTCCCAATCCCAGCCTTACACACATTGGGGCAAAATTACTTATTAAAACCAAGAATTACGATTTTAGTTATTTTGTTATAATTTAAAAATACTATTCGTGGGTATATAACATTTTTAGAGCATATTATTATATTTTATACACACAATAACATTTTCAAATGTAATTTTTTGCCAAAAATTAATTTAACATACTTTTGTAGGTTCTATATAATAGTAAAATAATTAAATTAATTATTTTAATCACAATAATATCATCAAATATACCTATTACTTGGTAATATCATAGACTGTCAGACCGTCTTCGCCCAGAATCGTTTTTCGTATATACAATGATTTTATATCATTGAATTCAAATTTAACACCATCCATTGATCCACTTGGGCCTGCACTTGTGACCTACTTTACAGCAGAACGATACCCACTTAGCAACTTTTTTTTAAATATAATTTAATGAACTCGTTTATGTTTTCAATGAACGTTAACGAGTTTTTATATTTGATAGTACCTGTGCATTATATTCATATTATTCGAATGTTTTAATATAATATCTGTTATACAGTTATAGTTATATTAATATAATTTATTATTCATATTATATTTTTTCACGTTTGTTAAAATTGTTGTTTCTTATTTTTAGTATTAACGAGCATATTTTTATTCTGATTTTTATTTATTTCAACAGAATAATGGGCCCCTCTTAACATGCTCGTATTCACGTGGAGCCCATGAAGAATTATTTGTCAATTAACCAACAATTTGTTTGTTACGCATACTAAATCTCAAAAAGATATAATATTGAGGTTTTTGGTGAAGTGAAATTTATAAGTTTAGGTTTGGCATTTTTTAAGTTTAACGATAACTGATGACAAACAAAAATAAATTTTTCAAAAACTCATTTATTGCTCCTACCAGAATCTAAAATAATAATAATCATCATAATAGGTAGACACTAATACTATTGTTGTTGTAGGAACAGTGAATATCATATTGACATTGTGTTTACGTATAAGTAAACGCATAGCACCAACTCGTCCACCGATCCACGTGAGTCTGACGATCCAATTCACACACGCCGTCAACCATGTCGATGATGACGATGATACCTGTATTGTAGTGTTGACGTGTTGTATAAAGACACTAATATAGGAACTGTCGTGCTAAATGCTCATTTTGCCAAAACTATTGAGACGAGTACGTAAAATAGATAATTCCATAAAAGTCGGTACAGTAGGTTCGGTAGATATATATTATATATATAGGTAATGCTAACAGGGGCGGCTCCATTGACATGGTTAGTGGGAAGGGGGCCCCAACTCATTATCAATTTTACCCACTTCCCAAAATAAATCGAGTTAGAGTAGTCTGACTGAATTCTGTAAATTATATTCACTTTATAATAAAATCTACTAATTTGTGAAAATAGTTATACATTTATTTCTATAGACTATAATGTACCCAGAATAATGAAATCGGAAAGGAATTTTTTTTTATTCAAAATACTCAATTTTTTTCAATACAAAAGGTTTTGTTTGTAACTTTAGATAAACTATGGCATGGCATTATACATTAAACTATTAAAACATTAAAATACCCATACTTCTGTTAAAATGTGTACGCGTTCTTGTGTAGGCGGAAATCCATTAACATTTCAGGTGGGAGGGGGGCGAATTATGAGATTATTGATGTAGTCATATAGTTATAGTCATAACTTTAGTAGGTACCTACCTACCTATTCACAATAAATTATGACGTGATAATGCACTTGGGCTTTGGCGCGCAGACGCCAGACAGCGCGCCGTTTACTATAGGTGGTCGTGTTGGTAAGGCTGTGTTCTCACCCTTTCCATACGACGTACACGACTGCAATGCTATCACAATATTATTCTCAATACCCACTACCACTACCCGTAATAATATTAACCCGGCGTGGTGGCGTGGTCCGTGCCCACTACCCGGTAACCACTTCCAGTCAGTCGTACCGATATGACTTAACACTCTCCCACCACGGTCTGCAGCTGACCTTGATCGACTGATAATCCGTGTAGCTCTGTCGGCTGTAGCAATGCTCCCGGCTCCGAATACTCGCAGGTGTTTAATTTTCCGTGTTGACTGTTTGAGCACTTGAGAGTTCCCTTCGCTCCGTTAGAGAGCTGAGGCCTGAGGGACGGGAGTCTGTGTTTGCCGGTCACATTGACACAACTACTGAACCACGACGAGGCAGTTGTAGGTGCATATCCGTATCGCGCCTCTAACTCTAAATCCATTCATTAGAGACTTGAGAGGCATTCGTCAATCCATTCGTGTTCCAGGTTTCGACACTGCTAATGGTAAGTTGTTGTCAATAAATATTGTTACCCTGACGCAGTTCCAGGTTATAATCGAGTAGTTGTCCTTCTTTTATTTTAGGTCTACGTACCCTACTAGACTTATTGATTTTAATAGACCATTCGTATTAATTTGTACAATATTATTATTACTCAATAACTGTATAGAATTTTTGAATAGCCAATATTTGGGTATCTTACTGTTGTCTTTTTGTTTCTTCTAATAATTTTTTCTGTGATTAGTTATATCTGCACTCTTTACTAACCCACGGGTATTAATTCCTGATTAATTCAATATACTGTATTTGTCAAATTCACCTGAATTTAGGAAATTCCAACAGGTTGGTGGAAGGAAAATGGCTTAATATGCTCATCCCAGTTAATTGGTTAATCTGTAATAAATGTGTTTTGTATTTTATTTCTCTCGTGTTGTAGATCGATTCTTATGAAGTTATGAAATATTAATACCATAATATAAATTATGAATTAATGTATTGATGTCGTGTTACTGATCTCGATCTTGACATTCCTTCGACTGTAATTTGGTGTAACTCAATATTACCCATTATGTAACCTGACCTACTGTTTGTTATCTGTGTTGGTTTACTTTACATTAACTAGGTAGGTACGTATTCTTGACTTAATCTGTCAACGAATGCAAATTATGTAAAACAATGATATCAAAAGAATTTACCTATTATTGTAATTTAATCTCATTAAACCTATTACCCAGTTTGGTTAAATTTATTAATAGAACCTAAATTATTACCTACATTATGAGATAAGTTTATACATTTCTTATTTAGGTATATTTTTCCAACTTGAACAAAGTTTAATTTATACTTACAATTACAAATAGCAGTATACAAATTAGTAATACATAGGTACATACTATAATTACAGCAGTTGATATTATTTAACATTGCGAAGCATTATTTAAATGCTGAAAAAGTATAAATTATTTATCCATAATATGTATGTTGACAATGCCTGTTTGATAACTTATTAAACATTTTTTAGATAATATTATTTTAAATAGAAAATATTTTTTAATTAATCGATATTACCAAACATTAGGTATGTAGTTATTTATTTGTTTAAATATGATTAACTTCAGACATTCTAAATTATATAATTTAAATGATCTAGATATTCTACCTATATAGTTTTGTATAAAAACTAATTCCATGATTTTGATACATCTAAATAGTTTTACCTAGGTATTATGTTTTTATAATAATTATATGCATTTTTTTTTTCATGATTTATCTATTTACAATTTAACAAATTATTATCAGTTTAATATAATAGTAGATTGGTATAGGTAATTGAAGGGGTAATAGGTATAGATCAGAGGTCGGCAATTAACTTATATGACAATTAGAATCAAGATAATTAAAAAAAAAAATTTCCAGAAAAAACTCATTTATTAGTTAATAAGTAGTGAATGAATTTATTTTTGTTTTCTAAATACAGTTCAAGGTGTTCAAAGCAAATTATTTAATATTATCTAGTTATTTTAAAATTGTTTCTATTGGAGAACAACTAAGAGTGTTTTCAAGGTGGAGATCAATGATAATCTTGAACGATATGCATTCTTTAAAAACTTTATTTTGGAGAAGAAAGTTTCACGAATGTATGTGGTGCCAAAATACATACAAATAGATCCAATATCTTTTATATCCTGAAAACAAGCATTAAAAAAAATTATTTTGCGGTCTAGTTACCTTCTGTGTGCGGAATTTTGCCGACCCACAATATTTATGGTAAATGCTTTTAATGGTATGATGCTATTATGTCAGTTAGCAATACTACCTATTTTATAAAAGTTAAGTCTGAGTTAAAGAAACCAATTAAGGCAAAAACACACACTACGGAATAATGATCTTGTCTGGTAGAATCAACCAAATTTAATAATTTTTTTTTTTAAGTAATTGATGGTTATAATCTACATGCCACATTAAACTCTGTTTTTTAATATTTTAATGACACACTTTATGATAATATGTATTTAAAAATAAGACAATTTTAAGCTTTTTTAGGGGTCAGTACGGTAAAACGTGACCCTATTACTAAGGCTCCGTGTCCGTCCGTCTGTCACCAAACTGTATCTCATGTACCATGAAAGTTAGAAAGTTGAAATTTTAACAGATTATGTATTTCTTTGGCAGCTATAACAACAAATACTAAAAATCCTAAAATATATAATATAAGCAGTGTTGCCAACATTTGCATAGATGATGGTTATACAGAACCCTTCATGCGCGAGTCCGACTCACACTTGGCCGGTTTTTTTTACAAATTATTTTATACCATTATTTTAAATAAAATAAATAATTGGATAGAGTTTGATGCCACTAGTAGGAAGTCTTCTTCTTTCAGCTAAAAATAATAGTTATCCAAATCAAACAATTCTACAAAACCTGAGAACTTTTCCTATAGTCATTTTTTTTTATGTATATAATAAACCGTATCATCTCCCCCCTAAATGGGTAGTAGACTAGTGGAAATGTATTATAATTAAGGGGACAACTAAAATATTATAAAATATAATTTTCAATTTTTTTAGAATAGCAGAAAATTTAAAAACCAGCATTAATAAGTTATATTATTATGTACCAATGTGTCAAAAGACAAATTGTTAGCAATCATAGAGTTACCTATTTAAATTAATATATTCATAAGAATTTTTATAGTTGTATAATTTTTTTAAGCTATTTTTAAAACTGTAATTTTGTAATATCTGTTGTGATTTAACATGTAAAAAAAAAATAGTACCTATCATATCTATTTGTATAAAAAAATGAGTAATATGTTTAGTTACCCAACAATAAAATTATATGTTTATAATTTCAATTGGATTTTTCAATGTTGTAACAGTTGTTAAACCTACCTAATTAATTTTTTTTTTTTTTTGCAGATTGTTTGTTTTGTATTTAAAACACTTCACGTCACTATGAAGGTCAATTTGTACACCTTTATATGTTAACATTACGTCTTGTATCAACACATTTCCTAAAGCAGCCATAAAAGCATTAAAATGTGCCGTGATTGGGATATGATTATCTAAATCGTATATTAGTATAAATTTGAATTTTAAAACTGCGTCAAGCTGTTGAAATTACTGCAGTGGTTTGCAGTAAGTAGTTAGTGGTAACAGTAATTTGTATAGTTAAACACTAATTTTGGTAACAAAAATTCTTATTTTCAGGGATTTACCCAGAGTTTGAATTGCATGAAAATGAAACTAACTTTGTGTTGTACTGACACACATATGCTTAGTAAGCAGGTAAAATGTTTTCATTGTTCATATTAATTATTTAATATTATAGCCATAGGCGTGCGCAGCCTCCGGTTTCAGGGGCAGCAAGAGATTAATTCGGCCCATTTTTCAAATTCACCATTAAAACCAGCCCATAGTTTTACTTTTTTTACTATTGGATATCAAAATTAAAATTGTATTGGTTATTTGTTTTTTTGAATAAAAGGTTGTATAGTAAGGTACTAAGCCACTAAAGGTGTACTTTTCTACAAGCCTATATAAAATATTCATCTATAGTTTATCAAAACAAAAAAAAATTTTTGTGGAAATATAATTTTACCGAGGCCCACTATTTAATATTTGCCGGCCCCGGTGGCCCCAAAGAAAGTCCAGGGGCAGCATATGCTGCCTCTGCTGTCCCCGTGCGCACGCCTATGATTATAGCAAATAACATATTTATTGAATTATGTAATTTTTTTTTATGTACTAACATCAACCTGCAACCTTGGGCAATCTTCCATATTATAGAGACTAACTAATACTTTTGTATGATTCATGATTGATTTGTTTTTAGTAAAAAAAAATTCTAACCTTTTTAATGACAGTATAATTAATTGATTATATTAATTCAGTAATATTATATTTTGGTATAACATACCATTACATTTAATAAGAAAAATTGTATATTTAAATTCAATTTCTGTAATTTATTATTATTTTATTTAAATTATTTAACTATTTTAATTGCATATGGCATTTTGCCAGTATGTAGTATTCTAGTATAATATTTTAAAGCTAGACATTCAAATCAACAGTGAAATAAGAAAGAGTTAAAACACAGCATTTAGAAAAAAAATACATAAAAATCTGTTTAGTTTTATAAATTATAATTTAACTAGGTAAAAATATAGAAGAGGGGTTTGAGTTATGAATGGTCATATTATAAACTGTATACATTGGATTATATCCTTAATCTTGAATAGATTGTTATACTTAATCCTATTAAATGCTCAATTTAATTTAATACAGGTTGAAACAAAGTTTGAGATGTTATTAGAAGAATATAATTCAGAAAATTTGATTTTGATTGGTATGCCGTTGGAAAAATTGCCATTGAATTGTGACGGGTTACCACTTATTGTAGAAAATATAAATGATTATATAATTGACAAAGGTATTTATGGATATTGATGTGGATTAATTATTGTTACTTTTTACTTATTACGAATTAAATTGTAATGTTTGATTTGAACATTTTAAAAATTTTTTTATTTTTAGGATTATATGAAGAATGCCTATTTGATGAAGCTTATTCTACTAATGGACGTAAAGCCAATATTATAAATGCTTATGAATTAGTAAGTGGTTCAAGGAAAAGTAGTAAAACAATCCTAGATATTGATGCAGTAGATGTTGCATCAGTGTTGGTAATGTGGCTTTACTACTTACCAGAACCATTGATATCCTCAAAACAATTTTCAATGATTTGTGGTAATAATTATTTACATTTTTACTATAAGGTATTCGTTTAATATCCTACTTTTATAACATTCAGTAGTTTTGTATGCTATTCATATCAAAATTGATTTTGACAAAATTCAAAATATTATCTTACATATTTTATTTAAGTGTTTATATTGATTAAATGTCATATATTATCATAATCATTAACCACTCAAGGCCTTATACTATGCACCAACCCATAGACCTATTCTTGAATACTTAACAGTCCTCAGGGATCCTAGAATAGCTACAGTTTCTTGTCATCTGGATAGGGATCGATGGAAATTGTTGAGGTTTGCTACCTACTTACAAAACATTGATTGTCCCCCTCATGATTTCTCTCGTATAATGGTCCATTAAAACGTTGTTTCTTTAGCTGATCGTGGACATGCAACTAACCTAACATTTCTTCAAAATTTACTCAAAGGTAAAATTTACTTTCCTTCTTATCTTCAATGTCCCTGCTCGCCCCACACATTGTTCTGTTCTTTTCTACATCCCAAGGGCTCATTCTAACTATGCTAACAATCAACCACTCTGTCGATGAATGCAAATAGCAAACTTGGACCCCGCCTTCTCTTTATTATAGACCGTGTACTATATAATTTACTATATTTTGTTTGTTAACTGTTTATCATTTATTTAATTGGTTTTATTTGAGCTACTATTTAAATATATATTAATTCTTTTATTGCTACATTAGCTGTATGGCGTTTATGAAATTAAATAAATAATTATATAGGTATTATAAAATAAATATAATAAATACATTTATATACTTTCCATCTTGTAAAGAGGGATTGGGTTTGAACCCACTACCCCCCTGACAATTTCGTACATAAATACATTTTTAAAAATATGGGAGAGGGTATATCCTACTCTACCAAAAATAGCAGGGGATGAAAATATTGTCGTACATCCTAATAACTAGAATGAATGCATCTAAGTTGTGTTTTTAAATGATAAAAAATGAGTATTCTAGAATATCATCATAAACACAAACCAAATATCCATGGTCCTTCAACACACTGCCATAGTTTAAATTTACATTGTTATTTAAAGTCTGAATCTAATCATGAAGGAACTTTAATAATTATTGGTTCTACATTTCCAGCTAGCAATGGCCTTGTAATTAAAAATGTAGGTAGCATACTAAACAAGTTAGGTTTTCATGTATGTACCATACTAAAGGAGTGCTTAATATTATTATAATGTTGAACAAAGCTATTGTTAATATTTATAACATATTATATAATACATTTATTTTTTCTATGCCAATAGATCTCAATGTCAATACAAAATACAGTGAAATTATTAATTCCATGGACAATATAAACAGACTAACTTTACAAGGAGTAATGAATATTGTGGATTCTTATGAAAAGCAACATAAGTCATATAAGAAGAAACTAGAAATTCTTTTCACACTGCTTTTGACAAAACATGTAGATATTGTTGGTCAAAATAATTCATCACATTTTTTAGACAATTTGAAGATTGTTTTGATGTAAGTTTTATTTTTATATGCATATAATTGTTAAAAATAGATAAAAAATTATTGTATAACTTTATAACTTTTTGACCGGTCCCTTCAACTTTGAATTAACAAAATCTGGCTATATTTTAAAACCATGATATAATCGATGATTTAGACAAATAGACTACATATACAGTGATGCTGATGGCAAAAAACAACTTTGCCCAAGTTTTTTTTTTTTTATTGCAAGATGTTATCAACCATCATATCTAAATCTTAGTGATGCCGTTGTATAAAAATGTTGATCATTATTATTAAAATAGACAATTATACGAGAAAGGTCAAACATGTGTAGTTGTATATTGTAGATATACAGTTAATTTGGATCTTGTGTGTCTGCTGTATAAATATGAGAAAATAATATTTTTAAATATCAAGATAGTAGAGGAGAGAGAATATTTGAGCATCTCCTTAGAACTTAGAATCCCAGTAGTGTTCACTGATAAAGATAATCTATATATTATAATAATTATGCAATGCATATTGATTAATTTTTATTGATCAATTATTATAAAGAATGTATTTCTCAGATGTATCAAGAATTGTGAAATATTTAATTTATTTATTCATTATTTTTAATTAAAACAATCATATTTATCTATCGAGATTATTAATTAATTGTAATTTAATTTTTTATTTAGGGAAGCAGAAGTAAATGATAATGAATCGGAATGTATTGGGTTCAACAAAAAATCTTTAAAAATAAAATATAATACCAATCATGATAAAAATGAATTTAATCTATGTAACAAGAAGAATCTATTTCGGTAAGTTATGTTAGAATTGCATTGTTAATATAAACATTATTTTAAATATAGTATTTCAATCAAATGGGGCAATAAGGTAAAGAGTAGCTTGGGAAATTAGGTTTATTTAAAAATTCAAGTTGACATGTACAGGGAGCTGAATGGCATTTTGTGTTGATGCTGGTAGCAGGTCGTTCAGTGATGATGGATTACATATAAAAACTGGTGCGGATGATGTTGATGCAACAGTGAAATGTCCAGCTTTGCTAAAATCAAGTAGCTGTAACCTGACTGAAGCCTTTTTGGAAGAGGATGTTCTTTACAACAACTCATTTATCAATAGTTTTTCATTTGATAAGGTACAATTTAATAAGATTTCTAGTATCTGATGAAATAAATGTATTTATTACTAAAATATTTAATCAATTATATTTTTGTTTTACAGAATAATTTAAACACTAAACCAGTTGATAAATTATTGTCTGATGATAATTTTTATGATGATAGTTCAGTTTCTGTTACTAATGAGGTAATTTTGAAATTCAACTAGTAATAAAATTTTTTAATTTGGTTATCCTTTTGTAGTTGTACAGTTCCCAAATTGATGACATGAGAAGTATAGAAAGGACCATGCAGATTCATTCAAGAACTACCATGAAAAAACCAAAAAATAAGTCTATTAAAAATCATGTAGAAAGGGTTTTGAAGTCAGGATTTTTATCAAATGAAGAAAGTTTGCTGTTGAAGAACACTTTAGAACTTATGAAGATACTATCAAAAATTAAAAGGTTTATACCCGAAAATAATCATATAAAATTTTTTTTTAATATTTTAATTCTAATTTTTTTAGTGTTCAAAATCAAATTAACATTCATAGAAGACATAGAGAAGATGAATTTGGTTGTGAAAATGAAAAGACCAACAAACGTTTTTCCGATTTGCATTTTTTAAACAATCGCCTTGAGCAATTAGCGAGTCAGAAAAATAATTGTAAGTTTTTATTTTATTCAAAGATAAACTTATTGATAGCATATCATATAATATTATTATGATCTATTTGACGAACAATAATTTAATTTTAGATTTAACCAGAACTGGATTATCATATGGTAGATCATACAACCGTACAGTTTTGAATCTTAAAAATGCCCAAAAAGAAGCTTTTAAGGTATTTAATGTTGTGATCTTCAACTATTAATCAAATAAATGTATCTTTTAATATCATCTTTGAAACAGCTCAATATTTTTAAGATTTTAAGTTTTAAAGTTTTTTTTTTCTTTCATATTTTAGTTACACGAAAATGAGAAAAATAACAAGAAAAATCCAAACGAAAACTTTGATAAATTAATTTCTGATATTTACAATATTCAAATAGTTCTCGATTATTTGGAAAATAATTGTGGTGGTAAGGAGTTGCCCTGGAGGTCAAGTAAAGGTTGTCCAGGTCACAAGAGAATGAAAAAAAAACAGGTTAGTTCTATACAATGGTTCGTGATTGGATTATCACTCGTTATAAAATAACATTATTTCATTATTTTGAATTTTTAGCTGAACTGTGTAACTGTTGTGTCTGATTTACAAACAATTAGTGAGCACGAAGTCATGGAAACTATAGCCCAGCCATTATTTAAACCAGTGGAACAGTAATTTGCTCTAATGTTTAGTAAGCTTAACATAACTCTGTAAAGAAGTCTTAGTCGTACATTTTTTTTGTTAACAATGTACAGAACTATTTATTTTTATGGTTAATATAAAATACTAATATTATAATCAAAATTAAAATTACTAATAAGTAATATTATTTGAGACTTATTTATAATTGGTACCTTTAAATAATTTAACTGAAGTTAACTAATTAAGAATTATGGATAGTATATTATTCACAATCGTGCATATAGTTCTGTCTTACATTCTTACTATTTTCAACCATATATTTTTTGTACAATTTATGGTCTGTACTTTTTTCTTTATTTTTACAAGAAAAATAAGATATTTTTTTTTAAGGTATGAGAATTCTTAAAATGTACCAATATAACTTTTTTAGAAAGAAAAATGGTTGAAGCATTAAGAAATTTAAAAATATTAGTCTAGTACAACTGTAATTTTTGTGAGAATTTTATTTTTGATGAATGGATTAGGTCTTGATAAATATTTTTGTTTGACTGATTTCATTTTCTGTAGTGTTATAACAAATATCAAAAATAATAATAATAAATAATATATAAAACACATGAATTTGAAGCAGGACTAACTTAAACGTTTAATAGATACTACATAGTAAATAAGTTCATAAATTATAAAACATTTTTTTTTTTTTAAAACAATTATGCTGTATATAATATATTAATAAAGTATATTTTCAATTAATAAATTTTAATTTTAACTTAATTATAAACTATATTTTTGAATGTATACTATAATATTTGGTTTTTTAGATTTCATATCCACAAGCATTTATAAAATTATTTATTTTTCCTTAAATATCTATAATATTATTGATTGTTATTTCATATATATTGTAACATATAGTCTGATTCTTAATGTTGTAGCTCAACTTATTTTTAAGTTTTAAAGATTTTTTATTCTAATTGTTATTTTATTCAAATGTAATTATTACAATCATATATCGTTAAGTGAATTGTTTATTTATTAAAAGGGTTAACCGGTATACTATTCTTAGCTTAGAATACTTTTTTTAAATCTTTATTTATAGTATTTTAAACAAAAAATTTTGGTATTTAGAAAACCAACTTTTTTAATTTTGTTTTTATTCTATAGTTACTAGTTAATATACACATAATTATCACTTAATATAAATTGACTACTTATTAATAAAAACATCATTGTTAAATGTAAAATAATGTACTTTTATATGTAAATAGCATTATTGGCTGTTGAGAGGTTGGTAACAAATTAAGCTTAGTGAGTTACAAATGTTTTCGAGTTAATTGAGGTGTCTGGGAGCCCCCTCTGCCATTTGGAAATGGTTATAACTTTGGTACAGTGAGGTTACAAATTTACCAAAGTTATGGGGGACTCGCATGTAAAGTTTGTCCTTCACTAAGTAACCAGTTTTCTCTTTTGAACAATGAAATTACAAATTCTAAAAAGTTGGTTACAAATATTTAAAAATTTAAAAAAAATTGAGATACAAATTATTTGGTAGTTGTGTGATGAAGTATAAAATCCACTTTTCATCTATATTCTATAACAACAATTTTTCACTATAAATTATACCTATAAAAGGACTAGGAGCTATTAGATTCAGAGAGGAGTAGTGAATGTATTGGTTTTACTATCAATTTATCTAGTTGGATCTTTGGAGGCTTAAAAAATTGAGTTACCGGTACTTTTAAAAATGAGTATAGTAATTAAAAAACTAATAAGAAAATCACGAGAATTACAAGATAACACAATGTCACAACATAACCAAGTTAACTGCCAATTTTTTTTTTTTGGTAAGTAATTCAAAAATTAATAACTAGAGAGCTTTGGCCAAGCATTTTTTAGACATGATATAATTCAAAAAAATATTTGTATATTTTTGTGTTAGGTATTGGTAAATAGTCAATTGTAGTTTTAGAAAAGATTTTTTAGATTGTCTACGATAAAATAATTTATTTTTAAGAAAAAAAACATGACCATTTATTACAAGGTAAGTTGTTCTTAATTAATAAATATAGAAACAACCGTCATCGTTTTAGATTCTGAGCAGTGAGCGGAGCAATAGCCAATCAATGTATTGATTTTATAATGATGTGTGTGGTTTTTTGTACATGATAAGTAGTCAAAATAATGCTTCGATTTGCAACCTCAATATCTTTTTCGATGGGAAAGTGAGTGTAGTTGGTGCATATGGGATGTCAATATGTAAATTTCCCAGTAGTTATATAAAGTACCAACTAGATTCACTTTCCTTTCAGAAAAGATACTGTTGTAGAAAATCCCTTTTACTGTTCAGAAAGGTGATGACAGACACAGAAAAAATTAAAAAACACATATCATTGTAGAATCAATAGATTCATCGTTCCACTCAGAATCTAAAATTAAGGAAAAACTGGAATATATAATATACCTACGCAACTTTGAACCTAACCCATATTTACTCAAAATTTTGATAAAATCTATTGTAACTTTAAAACAAACCACCTTAGATGCATGAAATTTTCACTGCATATTTATATTACTTACCATTTTCTATACACAATAACATTTGATATCCAAAATATTTTGAGCGGTTTACAGAAATGTTCCAATTTTAGATTCTGAGTGAAACGATGAATGTATTGATTTTACAATGATGTGTGTTTTATATTTTTTTTTTTATTTTTTTTTTTTTTGTGTCTGTGTACACGATAAGTAGTCGAAATAATGCTTCGATTTTCGACTTCAGTATCTTGTTCGATTGGAAAGTGAATATCGTTGGTGCATTGGGGAGGTCAAAATTAAAATTTCCCAGTAGTTTTCACAAGCGCCGGGAAAAAACAACATAAAAATTAAGGAAAAACGGGAATTTTTACGCAAAATCGGTTTTCCAAAAAATCGATTCTGGTTTTTGGTGTAACTTTAAAACAAATGACCGTAGATACATAACATTTTCACTGGTTGTTTATATTTGCATCTTCTATACACGATAACATTTTCAAAATATTTTGATTTATTTTGAACAGTTTAGGGACATTTTCATTTTTCGTTTTTTTTTAGTTTTTTTTCTAAAAATATCAATAAAATTTTATTTGTTGGTTGCGAAAGCTTGAAAATTTAATAGAAGGCTCCTAATATATTGTTTCAAAGGCAGATGAAAAATATTAAAAATCCTTAGTCACAATTTTTTTTTATAAGCATTTAAAGTTCAAAAATTGACAAAATATGGAAAAATCACGAAAATTAGCAAATTATTTTGAGTTAAGAATTCGTAAAAATTTTTCTTTTTAAATCTAAGATTTGAAAATCTAATACAAGATTACTCATAAGATTGTCTACCTTTACCAATAAAAAAATCTCTACCGGAAAGTCAAATTAAATTTTTATGAGCGTTTGAAATTCAAATTTTTACAACATTGGATATTCACTCGATTTCTCATGTGGCAATTTCCTTTTTTTGTTGTAATTAAAAAACGAATTACTGTAGATACATGAAAATTTCACTGAATGTTTATATTAGCATTTCCTATACACCATACAATTTTGAAAATATTTTGACTCTTTTTGAGCCGTTTACGGACATTTTCAGTTTTCAATTTTTTTAGTTTTTTTTTTCTATAAATATCAATTAAGTTTTATCTGTTGGGCCAAAAAGTGTAAAAATTTAATACAAGGCTCCTGATATATTGTTACAATATCAGTTGAAAAATATTAAAAATACATAGGCACAATTTTTTTTTATAAGCGTTTTAACATCGAATTTTGACAGAATTTTTCAAAATCTCGAAAATTATTAATCATCGTAATTAATAAATTATAAAATGTTCAGTTTTTATAGCTAAGGATTGAAAATTTAAAACAAGATTCTACGTAAGTAGTTAATTCTCTTACCGAAAAATCTAAAAAATATACAATCACAGTTTATTTTTATAGTCATTTTATGTTGAAATTTGGACGAAATTTCATATTAAAAAACCTAGTTATTTTGTTGTGATTATATAATATTATTCGTGGGTACGGGGTACCTACTTGAAACTTCTAAAGTGTACTATTATATATCTATGATAGTATCAGGGTTTGTTATTGATGTTGATGTATAACATGTTATAAGTACCTAACGGATATTGTGATAATGTGATATGATTAATTTGGAATTTATTATAAGTCAATTTTTTTTTAATACCATAGATATGTATATAATTTGTCTTAAACCTAGACTGACATACCGTCTTCGCTCAGAATCGTTTTTCTTATACAATGATATTGTATCATTGAATTCAAATTTAAAAGCATCCATTATACAGTGACCCACTTGTAACCTACTGTACAGCAGAGCGACATCCACTTACCCACCTTTTTTAGTTTTTTTTTTTTATAAATGTCGATACAATTTTATTCGTTGGGTCAAAAGCTTGAAAATTTTATACAGGGGTCTAATGTATATTGTTATAATGACAATTGACAAATATTAAACGTAGTCACAAATTTTTTATTTTATTAACATGTAACATTAGAACTTATCTTTTGTCTACGTATTATATTATGTTACATATAACGTAAATTACGAATATTTATTATGGACTCTTCGATGGAGTCGAAACGTTCAAATAACTTCTTGGCATCAGAATCTGAGTTTTTAGTATTGAAAGTGAATAAGCACAATGCACATATTAGTTATTGAATGCTTAATAACAGATACTTTTAATGCAAAGTAAGAGGATACCATTATTAACTAAAATACTGAATTATTTTTGCACCATCATTCTGAAGACGTTGATTTAACTAGGTTAAAAAAATTGTTATTTGTTATACCTAATTAACAAACTAATGATAACAACTAATGATTTCCGTGAATTAATTTTTGCATCATAAATCTTATAACTGGTTGCAAATCATAGGTTTCCAAAAAAAAAAAATTGAAAAATTTTCTTGGGTGCTAAACTATATGGTTTAGACACTAAATTAAAAAAATATTCTATGGTTTTAAAAAATTGTCTTCAAAT